CCTACAGGGAAAGACAACTTCCCGCGGCCAGCAATGTGTGTTCCTTAGCAAACCACTTCTCCAGTGGTGACGTCACCATGAAAGCAAAAAAATCCACATCCCCAGAATCCACCACCACCCTGCAGGAAACAGCAAGCCAAAACCTTTAGAATTGATTTCTGTGCACTTATAGCACACCTTCCAGATTCTGTGGCTTTAATTCATCACTAATGAAAATTAGAAAGCATTAGTTTGGGATTGTATTTGCCACATGGCCCCTGCAACTAAAGGGGGGGAAGGGCCTTGGAAAATAAGTAAAATCATTACCTTAGGACTTTAGTCCCAAGGTTCACTGTAGGACATCCTCAGAGATCTTTTAAAAATCTTTTGTCCATGCCAAAATTAGCCTTCATTGTTGCTGATTTTCCTTCTCAGGATTTCTCCAAAACGCAATTATGATTAAGAAGTGAGACTGTAATGTGTTTTGGAAGAAAGAGCGTCACATGCCTGTGTCTGTGGGAGCGTTTTTACATATCATAGGACAAAATCAAGGCGGGAAAAGTCCCTTAAAATGTTTTAAGGTATCAAGGCGTGTGATCTCAGCACACAAGTTGGGAAGAAGCCCGAGACGATGACAGGCAGCAAAATGTGTTTGATCTGAAAGTTTTCATTTACGCCACCGTTTTACGGCTGCGAAGGGGCTACTGCAGAATGGTGGCTCCCTATCGGGTTTTTCTGTGCCCAGAATCTATGTAAGACAGCCACCCCCTGCGAGGTGCTTAATATGCTGCCCCAGCCTCACAAGCAATCCCCTTGCCGACAGACTGACTCACTGGCATTTGTGCTGATATTAAAGTTGCAAAATCAAGTGTTAAGGAGCCATATTTTTTTCTCGAAGGAAAAAGATTTACCAGTTTAATTAAACAGCACATCCCTTTCCTTTGTGCCTCCCTCTATTCCTGCCCCCTCTGCCCCCTGGGGCCTAGAAGGAATTTTGCTGCCCCCAAGAAACCTAGAGCCCCAAGGAGCCCAAATGCTTTGACCCTGTCTGTGAACAGGAGATCTATTTAGAGACAAGTGACTGGGTCTTGCTTTTCCTTCCTCGACCACTGTCGGAGGTACATGCAGTGCAATTTTCTGTCTAGTTGGCGAACAAGCAGCGATTCCGTTAATTTTGTGATTTAAAAAACAAAACAAAAAAACGAAGGAATGAAGAAGTAGACGCTAATCACTGCCCTAACCCTAAACAAAGCACTGGTTTTTCTTCTCTATTCTGTGTCTCTGCCTTCTCTCAGAGTCTCTTGGATTCTAGAGAAGTTTGTCATCTTTGCCTTTTCATAGGCATAGGTAGGTGTGTGTGTGTGTGTGTGTGTGTGAGAGAGAGAGAGAGAGAGAGAGAGAGAGAGAGAGAGATACCTTTCCTCAGCTATAAAATGGAGATAATACTTCTTGTTCGACTTCAGCGCCTCGGGTTCCTAGGAGGATGATGGAATGAGATCCAGAATGAGCAAGTGGCTTTGAGAAAAGCCGATAGTGCACTGCAAGTGAAAATGTTGCTATCTTTTCTTTGAGATCCTTTTTTTTTAAAAAAAGTTATTGTTTATTTTTTTCATGAGAGATACAGAAAGAGGCAGAGACACAGGCAGAGGGAGATGCAGGCTCCCTGCGGGGAGCCCAATGTGGGACGAGATCCCAGAACCCCAGGATTATGACCTGAGCCAAAGGCAGACACTCAACCACTGAGCCACCCAGGCATCCCTTCCTTTGAGATCTTGATAGTATTTATGGTACAGGTGGCTTGTGGAAGGAGATGATTTCTACATTTCCGGTAGTCACTGTCCCAGTGACTCAAACCAATGGTTTGGTAAGGTTTGTCCATTAGATGGGTGCACACTGTTGCCTAATTGAGTTCTGGGTTAGTCCTGTGCTTCAGAGGCACAAGAATAACCATGGGAGCTCCCAGATCAGCTTAGGCCAAGGGGAGGGATGGAAACAGCATGGCTAGGAGGAAATGGAAAATGAGCTCTTTTCATCATGGGTTACTTCTGTAGAAATCTGCCTGGGGGAGAGGAAAGAAGTTTGGATGCCATTTTCTTTGGCAAAAGGTAATTAAATCAGTATAAGTCTTTATTTCAAAATCTTGTTTAAAATATTCTTCAGAAAGTGCTGGGGTGCCCCCTTGAACTGAGGCAGTTTGTAATTAAGATCATGACCTCAAGCGGTTGCTACTGAGTTGCTAAGGAATATCAGCTATCCGAAGCTATGTGAATCCATTCACAATCAAGATGAAATGGTGGGCCTGCTTGGTAAGGCTTTATTCAAAGACCTCAGGAAGGCTTTATTCAAAATGGCTGGCTCTGTTGTCCTGCAGCTCCACATTCGAGAATAGATTGCATCATATGAGGGGAGTGTGGGGCTTTCCCAGGCGCCAGACCTCTGGGGGGGTCTTCATCTCTATGGGGCATGTGTGTCCTTCCTCACCTTTGCATGTGCAGCACTTGGTCCATTTTACACCGGTCTCCTCAAACTACCATCTCCACACCTACCATGGGCCACTGAACATTTGCTGAACTCAGCAGGCATTTTGAGGTGTCACAGGAGCCATGGATTTCAGCAGTCTGACCCTCTTTGGATACAGCAGGCAGTTCATGCCATTTTTCTTTCTGCATGCAGTCTTTATAAAAGTGAGCAGCAAGTGGAAAACAAGAATAAAGTGTTAATACTAGTAAAAAGAAGCTTGGGTCTCTCAGGCATAATATGATTGAGATAAGGATGGAAATCATTCCATGGCCTCAAATTAGAGACTCATTAATCTTAGAATTGGACTCAGTTTTTGTTTTGTTTTTACTAAGAACACTAGAGGCTCAGTTGTGAATGCAAAGAACACAATTAGAGAATGTGTACAAATGCTATGAAAGTTATTTAGAATGGTCTGGATTTTTCAATAGTATTTTTAGTTTTCTGGGAATGGAACACCCACACCCTGCCCTATATAGTGTAAGACAATTTTCTACATGCTCTCAAACCTCTCTCTTCACGTGTTTTGAGGACTCCATTAGATGAACACGGAAGGCTGTGTCCACACTTGGAGTTGTGGCACCAACTGTCATCTGGGCAGTGCCTCTCTGTTCCGTGGACATGGACATAAAAGTTCAGTCTTTTAACCATACTATTTCTCTACCTCTCCTTTATCCTGAATGAAATCCTATCTATCAACCCAGCCCTACAGCCCCCAAGTGAGTTAACTTGGCCATACAAGTCTTCAGGCAACACTCCTTTTTCTGAGGTACTCTCACAGCAAAATTACTACTTTAATACAGGCTGGCTCAGAACTGTTCCAGTCTCACTCCAACTGAATCATAAGCCCTCGGGGCAGGAATGTATCTCTTGCCTCTTCCCTGTCCCTCAGGGTAGAGACTAGGGACTTGGGCACTATTATGATCTGGATCATGTCTGCCTCAAAGTCGTATATAGAAATCCCAACTCCCAGTACTTCAGAATGTAACCATATTTGGAGATAAGGTCTTTTAAAGAGGTGATTAAATCAAAATGAGGCCATTGGAATGGATCTCTAATCCAGTATGACTGGCATCCTTATAAGAAAAGGAAGAGCCACTATGGCCATGCACCCAGAGAAACAACCATGTGAAGGGATCAGCAAGAGGGTGGGCATCTAGAAGCCAAAGATAGAGGCCTCAGGGGAAACCACCATACAGCACCTTGACCTTGGACTTCTGGCCTCCAGGACTATGAAAAAATAATTTTCTGTTGTTCAAGCCACATGATCTGTGGTATGTTGTTATGGAAGCCCTAACAAACAAATTCAGGTATCTAGTAGAGTATATTATGAATATTTCTAGGTTATCCCTTTGGAGGAAAGAGAGAATAACAAGCAAAAGGAAAGCTATTAAAATATAGCAATGCAACTGAGGTAAAAAAAAAACAAATATCATAAATAGGAATAACAGTATTAATTAAATAAGCAGGTGTTAGGCTAACAAAAACTGGTAAATCTACATATCTGGGGGTCATCACACAGAAAAACTAAGATTTATGAAGCATTTACTATGTGCCAGGCTAGTAGATGGAGGAGCCAGCCTCTAAATGCAGGCAGTATGACTTGGGCAGACCTGCACTTACCAAGCATGCTTTCAAGTGTTTCAACCTTGAATACCTCAAATACATTTTGCCAAATGACTCTATTTTTTAATTTTTATTTTTAATTGTATTTATTTATTCATGAGAGACACACACACACACAGAGAGAGGCAGAGACACAGGCAGAGGGAGAAGCAGGCTCCATGCAGGGAGCCCGACATGGAACTCGATCCCGGGTCTCCAGGATTATGCCGTGGGCTAAAGGCGGGGCAAAACCGCTGAGCCACCTAGACTGCCCTGTTTTTTTTTTTTAAACAATTCTTTTGAGGCATAATTTAGACACTATAAAATGTACCCATTTTAGGTGAATAGCACCTTTTTAAACTCCTGCATTTTTGAGAGAGATGGAATATTTTGTTTCACTTATATGTTATTTCAGAAAAAGCTTTTTGATATTTAAGAATCCTCTAGTTCTTCTCTATAATTTACTTTTTCTAGACACAGTAATTGCAATTAGTGACATGTAAATGCACTAGCACATTATCCAACCCCCACCAATTTGAGTCTTGCTCAACCCTTGCAGCTACTAATTCTCGAGTGGGTTGAAAAAATCCAGCACAGTAGGGACACCTGGGTGGCTCAGTGGTTGAGCACCTGCCTTCAGCTCAGGATCCTGAACCCAGGATCCGGGATCAAGTCCTGGTGGAGCTTGCTTCTCCCTCTGCCTATGTTTCTGCCATTCTCTCTCTGTGTCTCTCATGAATAAATAAATCTTTAAAAATAATTTCAACATGGTATGAAATTTAATCCCCAGAAACTGGATTTCTAGACTAGGTTCTTTAGTACAGATAAGGAGATGCATCTTGAGAAGACTGTTGTTATATTTGGTTGAACAAAACCCGCTAAAGATTTGGAAGAGTCCACTGCAGCTAATTAAGCTAACTATGCTCTTTCTCCTTGGGGGCCCAGTGTACCATGGCTGCAAACAGTAGCCTCCTTGGTAGTGTATGCAGCCTGTTGATGGTATGGATTGCCCTAACAGACCTTAGAAACAGCCCTTTATGGTGGACTTTGAGGTCTGACATCATGCTATCTCCAATCTAGGCTGCAGACAGGTATGCAAGGTGCCTTTGGGAAGCTCCAGGGCACAGTAGCCAGGTTCCACATTGGCTAAGTCATCATGCCCATCCGTACCAAGCTGCAGAACAAGGCCTTGATTGAGGCCCTACGCAGGGCCAAGTTCAAGTTCCCTGGCCACCAGAAGATCCACATCTCCAAGAAGTGGGGCTTTACTAAGTTTAATGTGAACGAATTTGAAGACATGGTGGCAGAAAAGCGGCTCATCCCAGATGGCTGGGGAATCAAATACATCCCTAATCGTGGCCCCTTGGACAAATGGAAGGCTCTGCACTCATGAGAACCTCACACAACCCCAACCCTATTCATGCCCACCAATAAATCCTACTTCTTGTCAAAATAAAAAAAAAGATTTGGAAGAGTCCGGTGGAGTTGGCATTCTGATGTGTTACTGTTGCTGCTTGACACTAAACAAAATGTTTAGGCATGGGAAGGCTACTACTTTCTGCAGTGGGACTGAGCCTTATTTTGCTTCACTTTTGAGCTGGATGATAGAGTTTCCTGAGTTATAAGGGAACTAAGTGATAAAGTTGTTCAAATCTTTTCCAATACTTAAATGCCCTCCACAACATGCTGCTTCTGCCTGAACACTTGATGAAGGTCTCACTACCTGTCTTGACAGCTCCAGAGAAGCTCCAGAGAAGATCATGAACTCTCCCTTTCCTTATGTTGAGCACAAATTTGCTGCTCTTTCACTCCCGCTCATCTGTCCTTTTGTTGTTCCAAGACTATCTGGGAAACCATCAGCTCCATTCCCAGTTCTTAGCTCTTCTCATGTTTGAGGGCATTTCACAAGTTCACAGTCTCAGTAGCAGTCCCTCGATAACAAGCTTTTGCATCCTTAGATTACAGCAGGAATTCACTGTGCATATTTATCAAAATGCCTCTACTAACGTGTCACATAGAACCAAGCACAATCCTCTAAATGTGGTCCAGTCAGTGCAAAGCACAGAGGACCTTCATCTTCCATTCCCCAACTTTATTGAAATATATTTGACAAGTAACAATTGCGTATGTTTAAGGTCCATGGTGTGATGATTTGATAAAATGTTGTGAAATGATGACCATGATCAAGCTAATTAACACCTCCATCACCTCCCATAGTTACCATTCTGTGTGTGTGTGTGTGTGTGTGTGTGTGTGTTGAGAACTTTTAGGATCTACTATCTTAGCACATTTCAAGTATATAATACATTATTATTAACTAGTCACCATGCTAGGTCTCCAGAACTTATTCATCTAATAACTGAAGGTCTGTGCCCTTTGACCAACATCTCCCCATTTCCCCCACTCCAAACCCCCTGACAGCCACCATGGTTCCATGAATTCAACTTTTTGCAAAAAAAATTTATTTGTTTATTTGACAAAGAGACCATGAGCAGGAGGGGCAGAAGGAGAGAATCTCAAGCAGGCTCCCCGCTGAGCATGGAGCCCAACATGGAACTTGATCTCAGGACCCTGACATCATGACCTGAGCTGAAATCAAGATTTGGACACTTAACTAACTGTGCCAACCAGGTGCCCCTTGACTTAAAAAATATTTATTTATTTGGAGAGAGTGTGCACTTGAGTGGGAGTAGGGGCAGAAGGAGAGAGAATCTCCAGCAGACTTCCCACTGAGCATGGAGCCCGACATGGGGGCTCAATCCCATGACCCTGAGATCATGACCTGAGCTGAAATCAAGAGTCTGAGCCACCCAGACGCCCCTGTGAATTCAACTTTTTAGATTCCATATACAAGCAAGATCATACTGTTTATCCTTCCATGTCTGGGTCATTTCACTTAGCATGATGTCCTCCAGATTCAGGATCCTTCATCTTCCACTTGGTATTAGGTTGAACCATACGTAATTGCCAGTTTGGAGGTCGAAAATGGTCAGATATTGGCAACTTCAACTGGTCAATCTACTACGTTTCTACTAACACAACCTAAGATCAAATTATCTATTTTCAGAGCAACATCATACCATAGACAAATATGGACCTTAGTCAACAAAAATTTAGAATTCTTTCTATGTTCTGTGCTCACTGTGGATCCACATTCTCCTTGTCTTGAAATAGTGCAGTTGCTTTTGTGGCTCAAGGCCCTCATTTTACAATTCTTTCAGATAATAGTTGAATAAGCCTTTGGAGATCTTGATTCTATCATCCAGAACATAGACGCCCCTCTTTTGTGTCATTGCCAATCAGATCATCGTGCCATCAAAATCCTCATGTAGGGGCACTTGGATGGCTCAGTGGTTGAGCCTCCACCTTAGACTCAGGTCGTGATCCCGGGGTCCTGGGATCAAGTCACACATGGGCTCCCCACGGGGAGCCTGCTTCTCTCTCTGCCTGTGTCTCTGCCTCTCTCTGTTTGTCTCTCATAAATAAATAAATAAAATATTTTTTAAAAAATCCTCATGCAGATTGATGGTGATGGGGGTGGATTGTACTGGGCTCAGGGAAGAAGCTTACCCCTCTCCCTTCTGTTTCAGGGAACTAAGTGACTTTGTACTTTCTCCATCAGAGTGTAAATCTGACTTGAGAGTTCTCCCTCTCCCCTTCTTCTCCATGCCCACTTACTCTCAGGCACCACACACACCTCTCAGTACGGTCAACTGAGCAACAAGCGTACTCTTGAGTGATCTTCACCAAGAGGCTGGGTGCCTTCCACTGGGCTCTTTTGTTTGCTATCTAGCTACTGCCTCCAGACCTGGTCATGCCCCCTTGGAAGGGCTCCTTGGTTCCCTCTGAAGGAATTCCTGTATCTGACCCCAGGGAAGCCCCCTTAGACCTCCAGCAGAACCCTTCTGTGTGGAAATGCAGCCCCGCTTGCTCAGTCCCTGCTTCAGGCAGAACTCTCCCCAACACTTGAGGAATGCAGTGTCCAGGGAACACAATGCGGGGACTTAGAGCTGTCATATAACCAGCCTCACCAAGCAGCTTTCTTTCTTCTGATTGACAGGCCCTTGTGCAGCCCCAAACTTCTCCACTCTCTTGGCTGATGCCAAGAATTCGATCATTGGCAGTCTGTTCCTATGACTTAACATTCTTCCCCACTAAACTGCAGTGTGTTTAGGGAAAGATAAGCTGTAGGCTTTGTGTGGTGGGTCAGTGCAGTGTTCTGACCACGACAGTGGAAGAGAGGGGGAAGGAGCAAAAGGAGGTCAGGAAGCCGAAAGAAGCCACTGTTTGCCTCAGGTTGGGTCTATGAGGCTGGTAAAATTGTTCACCCTTTCTCTAGATGAGAAAACTGAGGCTGTAGGTCATGTGCCTGAAGTCACACAGCTAGCAAGGAATAGAACTGGGTTCTAAACACAGGGAGTCTGGCCCCAGCGACCCAACCTTCCAGGCCCTGGCTGTCTTGCTGCTCACTCCCTCCACGAGAGGCTCCCGTTGGTGTTGAGAACAGTTGTCAGCACTCAGACAGTGAGTGGACACCGGAGGAGAGCCCCCTGCAGCAGCTCTGTGGGGCCCTTCCATATGGAGAGGGCCATTGTCCCCACCGGGGGCACTCTGATGGGCCCAGGGCAAAGTTAATGAGCGGATGGCAGATTTGGACTTGCCTCATCAATGTTTCTGCAAGGATCGTTGCTATTTGAGTAATGTAGTACAGCTTCATAAACCAGAGGGGTTCCAGCTCTACAGGAAACTTGATATAATAACATAGTGTTTGTTGTCAGCTGAATAGCAGCAGAGACTGGCTGATTTGTTTGGGTGAGCAAATAAGCCCACAGGCGAGCTTAAGTATATTACAGAATCTCAGAACAAGATGGGGCTTTTGAGAGTCATCTGGTCTAGCAACCTATAAAACAATTGACTCTAAATTATGTACTGCCATGTGCGCACACCACTGTCACCAGTAGTCCAGCTTAAACACCTCCAAAAATGGGGAACTCACTACCTACCAGAGTTGCCTTTTCTGTCTGTTAAGAGTGACAGCATACAATCCAGTCCTGGTGAATAACAGGGGGTTCTCTGACTATCAGAAGCTCATCACTTAGTGGCTGGGAGGGAGAAGTCTCGATAGCTCAAACAGGACCTCTGTCTCTGAGAAGTCACTCATATTCAAGAGGAAATGGGACTTCACACTTTTCTTAGGAAGTTATCATGAGAAGCCCGGTTAGGTAAATGGGAACCCCCACGGCAAGTCCTAGGATTTTTCTGATTGAGCAGCCGCAGGGAACTTCCAGGCTGAGCTTCTGGGACATCACCACTCTGCTCCAGTGCCCTTTGTCTGAGCCCTGGGCCCCCCAGAGACAGTGAACTTGACAAAGGAGAGCAGAGAAAGATACTCTTGAGGCCCAGCCTTCAGTCAGAGGGCCCTTGGGGAAATATCTGGGAATCTTGAGCCAGGTAGGCCAGCGATCCAGCAGGCAGAAGGGAAATCTCTCTGTACCAGCAAACGCAGTCCAAGGCCCCAAAGAGAACAGGTGACAAAGCAGAGGGGATTGTTACAGACCCAGCAGAGAAAGACTCCAAGCACCAGCCTCCTTAGCGCAGGGTCATCTTGCTCAGAGGCCTTGCCACTCCGAAGGTAATGCTAGCCAGTGCCTTTAGTGATAGTAGGTGGTACCAGTGGTATTGAGCACTCGCTCTGTTCCAGGCCTGGTACCCCACACTTCATGTGTATAATCTCCTCTAACCCTTACAATATTGCCAGAAAGTAGATATTCTGTTTCCTCACTCTTCAGGCTCAAAGAGGTTAAAGAAGCCATAGGCCACACAGTTGATAAACAACAGAGAGGGAATTCTAACCAGAACCGGAACCCAGGCTCCCCCAACCACAGAATCCATGTGCTACCACTTTGTCATGCAACCTGTCCCACTGAGGCAGGACAGAGTCTCTCTCTGCTTCTACAGCCACTTTGGATCAATTCTTTACATTCTCCCCAGAGTTACCATCTTGCTCAAATTTCTAGCTCTCCTCCAAACCTT